GTTCCATTTGAAACTAAAAACAAACGAAGACTAATACTAGTTCCATTTGAAACTAAAAACAAACGCGTCAATTGTGCGATTTCAATCAACAAAGAAAAGAATAACATTGTAATCATATCGTTGTTTTCTCCCTCTCCATTGCCCCCCTCCCGCCTCACCGATCATTTCACACTCCCCTCGTATTGACCACGTCATTTCCACCCTCACCCCCATAATCAAAATCATCGGTTAAGGTATCAAGATTGCGAGGATGGAGGATTCCCTCCATATCCCCTCCCTTCCCACCATCGGCAGCGGCCCGTCCCTGTGGTGTCAGCGGTGATTGTGCATCACCTTTGCATGTGCATAACTCCGGTTGCAACTGACCGTCCGGCACGCTCAGGCCAACACATGACTCTGACTGCATTTCGGATGTGCCTTCTAATGCGGCGCATGTCTGTAATAAACTCCCGTACATCGCACCTGCATCTGACGACAATGCGTTTGCCCCATCCATGCGTTTGGATAGTTCTGTCGTGGCGACGGAGATTTGCGGCATAGACGTCATGTGAACCTCTTGAGTTTTCACCACAGTAGTCCCGTCATCCTCCCTCTGCCCTGCCTGCGTGGGTACGGGGGGCGATGTCGACAAAGGCACGGCATCCTGAGAGTTGCTCTCCTCCATGGTTTCGATAGTTTGATTGACCTTCCAGTCGATTTACCCACATGAGGGACTCGTTCGCAGGGCGTAAAATTTCCAACTGTACTCCAACTGCTGATTGTCTCGCAATACAGAAAATAATTTTGTGGCCTTGTCTTTGACAGCGCCCTCGCTCTGCCCCGGATTCTCCTTTTGCACGCGATACATAATCGCGAGTTCCGTCGTTTTCAACCAAGTGTCCTTTGACATCCGGCGAACATGACAACAAATAGAATGCAATGAGCATTACTACAATAAATTGTGGTCGGATCGGCACAATAGCCGGGAGGAATTGGATCGCCTGATACGAGCTTCGACGCCTCGCCTAGCATATCAATGTCATCTTCATCATTGGGACCACATATTCCCATGTTTGGAAAACCGGTGCCCTCCATGGGGGCCACCATCGAGCCAACACTGTGGGCGGCCACCGGTACGGATCTTTCATGCGAGCGAACGGTCCATTCATCGTGTGACCGCACCATGCCACCGGTCGGACCTTCACCACCCTTGTCCTTGTCCAATTCGAGGTCGGACTCCGAAGAGTTTTCCTCGCTGTCGACGGGGTTAAAGCCGTTACCCGATTTCGCGAGGTCAGCGTAGTCCTTGGACGTCAGCTGGTCTTTATGAAGATCGAACTTCAGGATCTCGCATCGAGCAACAAAAGTCTCAAAGACGCCAGTAAGAGCACCGTGGTAATGTTGCAGGGTCTCTGTCGCCTTTGCTTTCCTGTAGATGTAATTCCCGTCAAGCCGTCCTTGCGACGCATCGCGGAACAGGTATTCCCACACCTTCAGTCTCTTGCGTCCCAACTTGTGGAACATGTCCCTGTTGCTACAATGTTTGCAACGTGGCTTCTCGACATGACAGTCGAATCTCTCATCCTTCACAAGTATATCGACGAACTTTGTCAGATATGCAATGTCCTTGGCCGACTCGTCGCAGGCAATGACATTATTACCTGCCAGTAATAACTCCCACACAAGACCTGCGTGCGCTCTACCGAACAAAAGCACACCTTCCGCGTCTCCGACAAATGACCCACACAACGAACGTAACTTTCCAGGTTCTCGCTCCCAGATGGAATACACCGCACTATCATTGCCCTCTATCCCACCATGTTTTCCTTGACACTTCCCGAACTTCTCCTCCACAACGTGCACGGTTGTGAGGTCGTTGTAGAGTCGGGGTTTGACAGTTACTTTTTTCAGATCCCCTCCCTCGGCGTGCAGGACAATGGTCATCATATCTCGACTCGTTGTAGCCATATTGCCATATCGTGTGATGTCGTTCGGTGGCATGTCCACCCGTTTCCAGGTCCCGGGGATGACTTCGACGTCCTCCCAGCGGAACAAGTGACGCTGAACATCGCTTTGCACCTTCTGCGGCGCAAAGAAGAAAAACACCCAATTCTGGCCACAACACTTGGTCATCAATGTGTGCAAGGCATCAAATTCGTGAGAGGTCCACGCCGTGCTGAAGTTCGAGGATGGGAGGTCCACGATGGGGGCCCTGCATGTCATTTTTTGTGTTGCAGTGACGATGTCGTCTGGCGCTGCCAACACTTCCTTCGATGGCATGCACACAGGTAGCAACGTCGTTTGTTTGCCAAGCTTGTCCCACACAATATGACGCGCGCTGGAGGTGATCCGTTTCACCTCGGCGCGAAGCAAATCGAGCTTATCGATTGCAGTGTATATGAAGACCTTAAGGTGAAACGGAGCCTCCTTATACATTGTCGTCGTAGGCCCCAAGCCCGCACCTTGCCTTGCCTCCTCCACTCCTACAAGTCGTGGAGGGACCATCTTCACCTTATTGACATGTAACTTGTCCCGTTCCTTCTCCCATTCAGCAGCGCACAGACCGTTTGGCCCATACCTGTCTTCAAGGTCCTTGTACGACATGAAGAACGCGTTATTCCATTCGTCGTCCGCCCTTCCCTCGGCGCGGAACAGAACATAATTGAACATACGCACCATGTACCGCTCCTTTCGCATGATGTCGAGGAGGCACTCTGTGTTCGCTCTTGGAGGCAAGACCTTGACGTTCGTTGCGACCACCTTCCCCTTCATGAGCAGGAGCAACGCAACCTCCCTCTCACGACATGTCAAATCCCCAAAATTTTTGAAGTAGGAAGGACAGAGATCCTTCCACGACACGGTGGAGCCTTTGGGACCATCTGTTGCATATATGCAATGGTACAATGTTCTTTGTCCCTTGGTCTCGTCGGTGTACGGGCCTGGCAGGCGGCCTTCCATCCTCTTGGGCATGTCAAGCGGGATCTTGCCATCGCCAACTGGCAGCTTTTCTTCGTTGAACATCTCGAAGAACCTCTCGACCAGCGGCCACACTGCGTCACTGGATGTGGCGAGGTTCATGTAGCCCTGGAGTTTATTACTCCAATCCTTACTGTACTCATTCTCGAGAGCTTGCTTTACAAACGCCTTGTTGCATGCCTTCCCCATGCAGGCCCTCAAGAAGTTCTGCCACGTCTTCTGATGTGCAACGACCACCGCATCCTTCTCGCTGACCTTGGCTTTCGGGGCCTCGATTCCATTGTTGTCTATCCACCATTGCCTGATGTCACGGACAGCGTCCTCGAATGACAACATCATGGAGCGATTTTCTCGTGTGTTGTCGAAGCAGGAGACATTAAAATACCCTCGTGCTTGATCATCTCCGAAATAGACGACCCGCACCTTAGAGTACGCGTTGAGGCCATAGACTTTAACTGTCGGGGAGTCCTTTCTGACCAATCTCTTCATGGCCTCAACGGTATGCTGACCACAGACAGCGTACCAGTCGAACTCTGCCGGGTCCCTTTCCAAGAATTCGGCCGGCGTGATCCGTCTTCCCTGGCCGCCGACAATGTCATGGCGGTCAACTGGCGCAAGCACGAGCTCGGGCCTATCCCACACCCCTGGGTCCGTGCTGATGGCATTCTCGATGCCCCGCACAATGTTTTCAGACAACGAGCGGTGGTTGAAAAGAATCCTTCCGCGGGGAATGCGTTTGATTCTCATG